GAGAATAAATACTAGGAAACAAACTATCCAGTCATAACATTATAAAATATATGTCAGAGATATCTGGTTGGGACTCCAAGCATTTAAAATTATTTCTTTTGATTCTGATACTGCTTTTAGACAGGTTTCTAAAGAGCCTGGCACAAATGTTTTTCCTTCCAGTTATCTAAACATAGTGTCAGTGAGCGTGTTTCATAACATTATTCTTAACATACATTTTTCTTTTTAAGTGTGCACTGTATCTGTAGGCAGCTAATGAGTAACCTAGAGCTTATCCTATGCTATTATATAGAATGCATTTTTTAGTCCATGTGGATCAAAACCTGTTGGGGACTTGAAGATTAGGGGACAGCCTTGGTTGTAGTGCAGGGATTATGAGATGGTCAGATTCTGGATCTTGAGAGGAGGGAGACAGGCAAAAGCAAGATCACAAGCCTAAACTTCAGAAGAGCAGATTCTAACCTGTCAGGATACACTCAGAAGAAACCCAGGGGATACAATTTAGGAGAGAAGACGGATCCAGGAGAGATATTTTATTTTCAAGGACCATCTCCTCCAAGCTCAAGAAAGGTGACTTTCCTGAGAGTGAATCTTGAAGGACTTGTCATGGGGTTTTTTCGGTCTAGATCCTCAGGATATGTGCTTGGCACAATAGATGGCATTATTCTTCCCATTCCTAATGATGGGCCCATTCCTGGGTGTCTCCTCCCACAAGTCCCCACTGATCAATCTGACGCCAGCTCATATTCCAACAGATAGCTCCTGAGGACCAAATTATGGTGAGTAGTTTCCACTATGGCTGGTTGTGGCTCTGGACTGGGTCTGGGCCTTATTTACTTTCATTAGGTGCAACTGAGCTGACAGTATATATGGAGAAGTCTGACAAAAAAGCAAGGAAAGGCTCAGGCCCACTGGCCTTTCACAAGAGCATGAGACCACCTTATAGTGCAATGTGACAATATCTGGGGACTGTGACCTCAAAGCACTTAGAGCTGAAAGGATGCTACAAGGGACTGGGGAAAAATCTACTTGGCTAAGTGCTGACATATGGTATCTAAGTCAGTGTGAATTTTACCTTCCCAATATGTGGATGCAACTTTCTTGAGTAGTATTATTGTCCAGCACTTTGTCTGTTAAAAGTGCAGCAGTTTTAATAGGGCAGTTAAATACCCTGGAATAGCAACGGCCATTTGCTAAGTGAGCAAGAGTTTCAAAAAGCTTTTCTTTGACTGATGGTTCCATTCTACATAGCAAACAGCAAATGGCCCAAGGCTCTTTCATTTGTACTGAACCAAAATCTAATTGTGTGTCAGATGTCGTTTGTGACCATTTATGACTCACTGAAGATAAAATTAAACCTAATCTCCAGATCAAAACATTACCCACAAAATTCTGCCAGAGGTTGTCAGGGTTCTAAAGTCAGATCCCACTGCATCCACTGGCTCAGGAGGCCCATTTCACCTCAGCCCAGAGCCTTCAGTCCCTGCCCCACTGATGTCTGGTCTCCACCTCTGCCATGATTTGTGTTTCATCCTGACAGGATGTTCGAACAGAAGAAAGGTTCCTAAATATGTGACTATCTTAAGAAGCAAAGGAAGAAGCACAGGCTAGAAGCCACCCACCCACAAACCTGAAATCCTAGTTTCTTTGAGCACAAGCTAGAAATATCTTAGGCAATGAGGAAGATAAATAGCTTGAATAATGTGTAGGGTCATACTACAAGGTACCCATGAAAAAGAACATTATCTCTGCTGTAAATATTCTGGGAAATTTATTTCTCTCTGGGAATACCCTGGTATAAATCTGAATCTGTGATTTTATTTGAGCAATGTTAATTTATATTAGGAGACAATCAGTCCATTTAAAACTGTTACAGGGGAGAAAATAATACAATATTCAAAAGTAAACAGAAAGCATTAGGTACTTCCTTGATTTTCTGTCACTTGTAAAACACTAATTAGAGAGCAGCAGTTAGTGATGGATCCAGTTTTATATTTGGAGTCAGGAAACCTCTTTAAAAACACATAAAATGAAAGCATTATAGGAAACAGATGTATTGCCATACTTTGTATTCATAGGGAAAAGCAAATAGATGCAAGCAGACCAGCTGGGTCACTAATTTATTTAATTTACAACAACCATTTCTTTCTCTCCTTGGAATGAAGTCCACTGTGCCTCTTAGCTTCTTCTTGCATCATTCAAACTTTATTTGGTCTCACTATGCCAGATCCAGCACCTTCTTTGCTAGGCTTGCATTTGCCTTATTTGAATTATACATCTCAAATAGCTGCTTCTGATTCTGGTCATGAATGACATCCTCAAAAAGGCAGACCCCAACTGTGTCTTCTCTCACTAATTTTGGCAATAAGGAAAAAAAATTGAGCCGGTATCTCCTATGCTTTTCTGTAACTTGGCCTTAGTCTGTTCATGTTGTTGAGAATTTCCTACACAAACTAGGTAACATACTTCAGCTCTAACCTTCTTAACTAGCTTCCTTGTTAACACCAAAAATGCAAAAAGAAAAAGGGACTAAAAAGTAAAATTATCCTTAAGCAATGTTTTGACTTGTATATGACTGCCTTTGGAATTATTATTTTAGATTTTCTTTCCTTTTCTGTCATGTTCACATAATGTACAGTTATTTATACCTATTTGGCAGCAAATCCAGATGATGCTGTCCTGGCCACACTTCATACTGTTGTGGGTAAACAGGTGAAATGGATATCTTCAGTACACTGAAGTTTCAAGAGCATGAACTCAAGTTCAGGGTTTCTGCTAGCCTCCTGGTCTAGCTGCATTCCATCCTTCAGTTGAAATCTAGCTTGGAGACTTATTTTGCTTCTCAAGGTCTGGATTTGGTCCTTCTTAGAAACTGACAGAGATCCATGTGGGGTTGTGCACTTCCCAGCATTTTACTTGCTCTCTACCTCCCACTGACACCCTCAGCCCAATACTGACCACCTCAGGCTGGCTGGGGAAAAAGAGTCCCAAATTTCTTGAACCGGATGATGATTGGACTTTCAGGTATATTTTTCTACTGTATTCTGTATAGCTCAGTTTGCAGGACTGTACTTACATAGGCACAAGCCTCTGCTTTCTCCTTCAGGCCCTTTAGATTACATCTCTAGGCCTCCACTGTAAATCTCACACTTAGAAGTGACGGGAAAGTGTTTTCTGACACACTAGATGGCTTTGTGAAGCATCTGTGGAACTTTCTGTGCAGTGGTACAGTTAGCATTCTTTCCCCATGGACACAAAAAAATGATGCAATATCCAAGGCAACTTGGAGATATCTCTCTCTCATTATATATATATATATAGAGAGATAGATATGTAGATATACGTCTATATATATCCAATTGATGTAATAACCACAAGGCCAACTTGCAGCAGGATATTGGTTTACAGGGAACTGACATATAACTCCTCCTTGGAAAGTCTAATATTATGCAAGAACTTTATTGAGACTTCAGCAGGGCAGAACTTTTCACTTTTTTTCATTTTTAGATTTTGATCTGACAAATTTAGGTTTTGATTTTGACAGATGAGATGCCAGATTGGATTACACAAAGCCGTATTTTACAGACGACCATGTCAGAACAGAAGCTGGGCACATTTCGACTTTGCATCTTCTAGGTCTTTACATGTAAGACTGAGGATATCTGAACAATTCAGGGATCCAGCTTCTAAAGGAAGTAACCAGAAAGCTTTAGAGAAATACAAAATCTGCTTTTCCAGGGCAAAAGTCCTGTTCTCGACATGAGCAAAGATTTTCCTCCACAACACAGTAGTTTTTTCGCCTGGAGCAATGGCTATTATTTTAGTTCAGACCACCCACCCTCATCACAAGACCTAAGGATTTACAAATTTAGAAGAGCAATGACATAGAAAGGATAATACAGACCAAAAAATCCTGCAATAGTGAGACACTTTTCAGCAGCCTAAGCCAGGAAATAAAGTATAAAACAGGACAAAGCAAAAATTACATGACTGCAACAGCTGCTAACAGAATCTGGTTTTGCTTTCTAAAGAACGCTTTCTTGGAAAGCCCTACAAGATAATGACTTTCCATTCAGCAAATACTTTAATGTTCTAATAATGATATTTGAAGCTGGTTTACACAGAAAATGTCTAATTCCCTATTTCACCCAAACTTCCCCTATGCTAATGAGTGACAGATTTTTCCAGCGAAAGTTTTGGCCTAAATTCTCCTAAATTCTCTATTTTCTCCTAAATTCTCTAGGTTCTAAATCCCCAGGTCCCATAAGAAACGTGGCCAAGCAGAGCTTTGAACCTGCTTTCTAAAACAGAAAAAGCACCACAGTCATCGCCATTCTTCTTGGATTATGAACACATTGGAAACTTGATACAGGCTTACACATAGAGAATATGAAGTTAAAGGCAATTAAACATCTTAAAAATAAACATAGTTCTTGGGCATTCTATATCTCATTTCCTCACTTATATGAATAATATGGGAGACTGTGCATTAATGAGACATGCAGCTACAATAATAGATGTGTTTAACAGGGGTAAAGATTGTGTTCCTAAAACATGCTGAAGGAACATTATTACTTGGCATTGATCCTCTAGAAATTTTAAGGATAAATATAATATGTACTAAATAATCCATGACTCACATGTTCTTATAGGAAGATACAGATAAGTATAGTTATGTAATGAAGAACAGTCTACAAACTATGTTGGGATTTTACCTAAAGACTTCAGTGAAAGCTTCTGGAACTCTGCCACTAACTTCACTGGGCCCAAAGTATTACTCTCCTATCTGCCATTACTTTAAGTCAGTATATATATTCCAGAGGGTCTTATCTGCTTGGAGTTTGCCCTTAAAACTTCAGGAACTAAACTGGAGGAATCAACTGAATTAAGTTAGAACTTATTTGCCCCTTGGTATTTCTGGCAACTACTCTGTTTCCTTATAGCAAAAAACAAAACTTTGTGTTTTGGTGAGGCTGAGTAGTGAATCACAGAGACATAGTAATTTAAAGGGTTTTTTTATTGTATTGCACAAGATATTTATGCAATCCATGTAGGTATTGTATTGAAGGATCCACATTTCGCAAACATTGGCTGTTGCACACATCACTAGCATTGTGAATAACCAGTGCCTTCTTCAAAAAGTAAAATAATCAGTTGCAAGTTTAAGCATGTTGTGGAAATAAATGAAGAAAAAAGCAAGGACTATTAATACATGTTTCTCTTCAAACACACAAATATACATTTTCAGAGGAGCACAAATAATGCCAAGCAACTATTTTGATGAGATACTGCTTGTGTAGGCTCTGCAGTAAAAAGCCAATATGCACACAGAAAATATATTTAAACTTTTAAAATAATTTAACCATAATATCTTGCATGTGTCACCTGTTTACAACATAACATTTCATATACAACATCAGGCCCAAGCCTCAACTTGTGTAAATTTGTGCAGACTCATTTAAAGCAGCTGGGACTCTGGACCAGGTATTCAAGCTGAAAAAGCCTTCAAACTGTTCACATCTGAATTTAGAGCGGTAGTATAAGACCAAGAAAGTAGTTATGGTGAATTTATAACAGAAATGGTAGTATGGAAAATGCAGAAAAACACTATAAAACCCTCAAACAAAAGGTTCTAGAAAGAGGCCTACACATAAAGTGATACTGTAATAATTTATAAAAGTGAATAATTAGTATCAGTCTCCTTTCTGACATTAAGAGATTCTCACATATTCAGAAGCCTGTAGAAGTGAACTAACCAAATGTCACAATCAGTTATCATCCTCAAATGCTGTTTCTTAAGTTTCTGATCATTAATACTGGTACTTGAAAACACTTTATATTTGCTGAAACTGATTATTAAAATTTACCTTTCTGATATGAGAATTTAGTGTAATAAAAGTCATGAAAAACAATAGGTAAAAAAATAGTATTTTAAGAATATTTTTAGAAAACTCGTCATACAACTGCAAATACAGCTAATTTTTAAGCATCTGTTTTTGAACTGTGGTCTTTTGTTTGTTTTTAAGTGAATCACTTATAAAGAAACAATGGAGTACCAGTTCTAAGATTTATTCTTGTCCATTACATTGAGGACCTCATCCAAAAGTGAGGGCCCCAAGTCAAGTTGTAATGAGAGAAGAGAACCTGCAAGATCTGAAAGAGATTCTTCTGACTTTGTCTTGGTTAGTTCACATGAAAGCCGGCTGTCATCCAGTAAATCAACTGTTTGCCAATCAGTGCATCGTTCAGAAAAGCTGGATGAGTGACTGTCGCTACCGTTAGTAAAATGTGAAGAGGAACCATTTTGCTCCCATATGTCATCTTTGTATGTTTCTTCATCCTCCATCTCTTTACCTTTCTCCTGCAGTTTTTCTTCTATTACTGGCTCACAGCTAAGTCTAGGATTTCTGGATGACCTGATGGATTCTTGCTTTGAATTAAATGTCACCGGTGACAATAAAGGCAATGTAAGGGCTTGAGAACCCCCAATGGCAGGAAGGGAAATAGCATTTTTGAGCACTGGTGATGGAGTTTCTGTAAACATGGATTCAGAAGTGCTGTTTGCTCTTAAGAATTCGTTGTGGATACCAGACTGGCTAACTCTGGTTTCACCTTCATTTCCAGGCAATAGCTCATATTTGCCCTGCAAAAATGAGATGTCTCCGAAAACATCATGCTGCCCCTCTTTTCCAATGTGTATGGTATGACGAAAATCGCCAAGTGGAGGACTGATCATATCAGGAGATAAGATATCCCTTAGTTTGAATTTCTTCCCTTTCTTATTGTTAGCAGCTTTCAAGTAGATGGGTGTCTTGGCTGGCATCTTGCTTGTAGTTTCTGAGATCAGTAGTTTAAAAAAAAAAAAAAAAGAAAAAAGTGAGGGAAGAAGCCTCTTACAGTTCTTCTCAGGAGACCTTCACTGTTAGCAAAGTTACATCATCATCTTGAACCACTCTTTCACATAAAGTCTTATTCTTCTGATACAGAGAACTGTGGAGTATGTGAAAGTAAATGTCTCCCACATCAGCTCTTCACAAGGTAGAGCACAAGTTTTGGGGTCAGGTACCAACCAAATGCCTTGCTACTTCCTCAACTTGGGAAAACCTGCATGGGATACAAAATCAGGTTATCATTAATTTATTTTTCATGGTTCATTCAGTCTTGTTTTCACCAAATCCTAAAATTAGTAATGGTACTGACAGTTCCAGCCTGCAGATTAGCTTTATGATGTTGCTTCCCTTCATTAGGCAGGATAAAAGAGTTCAGATTAACAAGGGCTAGCTAACCTTTCTCTGACTCCATAGCTTTTTTTGAAGTCAGACTTTTTTAGACACAGTTACTGAACACAATTCATTTGATAAATATCACTATCTTAATCTTCCTTCTCCTTATTGTGCATTCAAAATGCTGACCTTTAAGAGCACATGCAGAAACCCATTTATAACATTCAACAGCATTGAGTTTTTGGTAGATCCAGGAAGACTGATAGAGTCATTCAGAAAACCGTTTTGGATATGGAATAGACTCTCTTGATTTAGATAACTGGATAATCAGATTAGCATTCAGATACTTCCAGTTAGTGCCGCAACACTCACAGACTGTAACCAATAACGTTTCTAGTAACTGTACCGATTTAAAAATATAGATATAGGAACTAGAAAAAAGAGCTGGTCCAGATCTTTACAATTTGTCAGGAACATCCAATCACATATGCTTTAGAGGAGACTGATTATTGTGACTATATTCTTTAGACTGCATTAATTCTTCATAGTAGTTATTTATAGGCTGGCTCATGAATTATGCAGAACATGAGGCCACAGTGATTTAGAATTGCTCGGTGCAACCAATTGCAACAGTCTTTGCAAACCATGCTGTCCTACTAGAATGTGGTCTTCGAAAGGCCTGGTAGAGCTAACAAGGGATAGCAGGCTATTAAGTCAACAAGCTATTGAAAAACACTCTTTTTAATACTTTAATGGTATATCTCTTCCTTATAGTGCCAGTACCCTTGGACACTCTCAGAACAAATGCATTTTTTCTCCCGGACATTTTTATACATTCTTCTATTAAGACCATACACCACAGATCACCCCTTCTCATCAGAATACTCAGCTACAAATCCATCACACTTTGTCCATCACCACCCTCACTTGTGCAAAGGAGATTACAGCTTCCACACAGAAAGACTGTTCTATACCATAAGAAGAGGGAAGCTGGCTGTAACAAGGGCTACTTCTGCTGCCTTTTTTTTCCTTCACCAAATTAAGCCAAGTACGACTCACCAGGTTTAAAACTTAGCACCGTATGGCTACACACCCAGGTTGTCAAGAAGCATTTAAGCATTTTAACAAATCCTTTAACCACAGTAATTAGTTCCTACAGTGAGGTACTCAACTGTGCATCACAAGGGGAGCTGGGAGTCTAGCCAGGTCAGTGCTTTGGCTTTCTGATTCCCACCAGGTATCTACTGCACTTTGATAATGTTGAAGAGCCCTCCTCCACAAAATATATCAGATGCAAGCAGATTAAAGTTGAAATACAAAATAAGTTCAATAATTTATGAGGACATTTTATACTTTTAAGATCAATTGTGAAAATACAATTGATCACATCAATCAATTAAAAGCACTTCAAGGCTTCCTTCTACACAACAAAATGGTAATTCATTAGGATCTACAGTATAGTAGGAGATTCATATTACTCCATGACAGTCTTGCAAGATACAAAAGTAACCCCTAAATAAGATCTCTACATGTTCCACCTGCAATGGGAACAGAACTGATTAGTCAAATCAACCTTGCAATTTTAAGGTCTAAAACTCACTGCATTGTTTCCCTTCTGTTTATCATTCTGCCCAAGCAACCCATTTAAATAAACAAAATATCCTCAAGTCTACAGAGAAGACTGTTATCAAACAAAGATGAATGGCAAGGTTGTTCTATATTTATCTAGTGGACTCAGCTCTCACTTCCTAGAAACAAGAGGCCAAATTCTCTCTGATGTTAACTTCTCATTCTTGCAGGTCTTCTAATTTGAATGAATGACAACATAATAACAATGTGGTCCAAAGTCACGCCTGTCGGTCACTGGTTTAAAAAAGAAAGACAAATGGTAGATCATTCAAAGCTTTCATGGCTTCCACTACTTAGGATCTCTTTCAAAAAGCATTACCACCAAACTCCACAAGGTTTCAAAAAAAACACTGGAGGACCCAATGAAACATCTAAACTTCAGGAAATACTAAAAAGAAAATGTAAAATAACTTTGAGTATAAACAGCCTGTTTCGACACACAAGAAAAGCAATGTATTTTATTTAGCTAATAGCTCAGGGGGGAAAAAATACAAAAACTCTGAAAGTAGCACAAACTTTTGGACATCCAGATCTCCTTTAGTTTTTGCACTACGAGAGAGCCCCAGTAAGGGGCAGTGTAAAACCACACTACCTGAGAGGATGCTGCAAGAGACTCCACTATCAAGAATCATAAACCCTCTCTATACAGCAGTCTTTTTAATTGTGAAGGCTTGCCTTCCATTTGGCCCGTGCAAGAGGCTTTACATCTGAAGAGAAGAAATTTCACAATTACATGCTTAGTGCAAGCACCATTTTCTCTGCTGAAAACAAAGGCCACTCTTACTGCAGATTTTGGTACTCACAGTATTGAAAATCTGCAAATTATACATTTCAAATAAAAGAAAAGGTCTCCCTTCTCAATGGACAGGCCTTCCACGTACAACATAGCATAGCTTCAGAGCAACTGTATTTTGTTTCTGCATATCTGTCCTCTTTGTCAACTACTGCTTAAAAGGACTGCAGATTTTAAGCTACTTCAAACAAATAAATCTGGAAATATTCCCTAAGCCTAAAATACTATTTTCATTCATACTTAATTTAAAATTAAATAAGGAAGAACCCATATCAATATTTAACATATAGCATATATATACATACATAAACACACACATATATATAAAAAGTAGTTCTTTCAGTAAGAAAAAAATATATAAATCAAACTTTGGCAAATGAAGAAAACCCTAACAAGACTAAGTCTCCAGCTCAAATTCTAGAAGACAAAAAAATTAGTCCATAAAATTTTCACAAGAATCTTAACACACTCCCTGCACTAAACAAGATTTAATGGAATTTCAAGTGCACATGAGCTAAGAGAAGGGACAAAACACACTGCAATCTTGGTACCAGGCTACACAATATATTTCATATTGTCTTAAAATGAGATCTTTTTCTGATCTTACTGCTATAAAAGAATCTCTTGTTTTGACTAATTTCAGCTCAGTAACTGATTGTATAGCTAAACTGGGAAGTTGAATGAGAAATTACCAGAAAACCAGAAGCCTGCAGTCCTGGACTGCCAGCCTACAGTGGAAGACCTTAATTTAAGAGAAAAACAACATGAAAGGGATTTCATTCCAGTTGAAAAGATATCCCCTCTCCTAAAAAGATCCAAACATGAGCCAAACCAGAAGAATTTCAGCCCAGTGAAAATCAAAGTTTTACTTTGGCTGTAGTACTTACTCATTTTCATTCCTATCACTTCACACTCTCATATAAGTAGTTTGCTTGGTAACAAAGACTAATATTTTTAGAGGTGCTTCTCAATCCGCCTTCTGTCCACTCAGCAATCATCACCTTCCACACAGCTCAAAGTTTTCCATGGATGCCTTAGCTTATTCCACGGTCCATTTTAAAAGGATGGACTATCAGCAAATATCTCAACAGCTAAGATTGCAACGCCAGAGACAAATAAGGTCAAGGTGCAAAGTTTTATTTGTGCACATATCCCAAGAGACCTAGGTCCTTTAGCAAAGAAATTATAGAAAGAAAACCACATTTCTACAGAGCAGAGCCAGAAGCAAATGTGTGTGCTGGGAAGCCTACAGGCTTTCTACAGGGCAATCCCTTGCAAAGGCTCTGCCTTACACATCACTGACTAGAAGCACGTGAAACTCAGAGAAAGGCCCTTCCAAAGCATAATTTAAAATATAATTGAATTACCTCGTGAAGCAAGTCAGTAAGAAAAACTGAGTCTGTACATTATCTAAATATCCAAATGAAAACACTGTAACATAGCAAAAGACAGACACAAACTATGCAACAAGCAGCTGCGACTTTTCTACATGATGAAGTATCTGCAAGCATAGAAAAATTAGACTTTAGGGCTTCATTTTAGGTTTTAGCAATCAGTAGCTTTCAACAGTACAAACAAACTGTTAAGAACATCCTGGTCAATGCTGTTACTTTCACTATGTCTGAAACAGCACCAAGGGTAAAACACATTTTTACTGGTTTTATAACAGGGGCCTGAAGTCACAATTCCTGAATGCTCGTAAAACATACTCCCAGTTAACCAAATCCTCAGGTGCAAGAAAAGCATCAGATGATGCACCACAGAGCTTACCTCTCGTGTTTCTGGGGACTCAGGTGTCCTTATCAACCATCAGGCTCTGAAGACAAGAGGCCACAGGTCTGTCCACTTCTAGACCCAGCCACCAGCTTTCCACTTATAAAGACACCACCTTGTAAGCAGCTTAAACCACATCAGGTGCTAACACAGCTCCCTCCAGACTGTTTATCTAAATTTACATGGTTTATAAGAGGCACAGCCTTTGAATTCATCTGTATTAAAGTCTACTTTTCTTGATCAGGTTAGAAGTCCTTGTCTCCTTTGCTTCTCCTTTCATCAAAGAATTGGCACCTTTCTGATCAAAGTTACAGATTTAATTACTTTATAAAAACAATCAGGCTAAATGCACTTCAATTCAATTAATTTTCTCAACTGCACTCAACTGACTCTCCTGGATAAAATCTTATCTATTTCATTGTGTTATCACATACACTATTTAGAAAATGAAGGAAAAAAAAATCCCGAATCATTCCTACAGCTACAGAAGCACAGGTCAAGAGAGGACCCGACCCTATGGTACAGTTGATTCATTTATACATTGCCCTGAAGACAGATGCAGTGTGCTAGCTGTGAAGGTGTTTGTCCACTCTTCTCTTAAAATTTCCCATACATGCAGACTACATCCACTAAATTACTTCACAGAGGTCAGTCATCAGAGAATATGCACCTAAAGTGTTCCTTGC